AGTAAGCATATGAATAATTATTCCAGAGTCAACACCACGGCTGATGTCAAGCCTCTGGCCAGATGGAAGTTAATACAGGAATTGCTCCCCGACCCAGCACTGAAACCAACGCGAGCAACAAAAGCTCGGGCTGCCTCACAGCCAGCGAAGCAGCAGCCCTGCAGAGGCTGTCCCCCGGCCCCACAGAGCCGTGCCGGCCCCACGGACGGGGGGCAGGGATGTGGCTACACGCACGGCCGCTGACCCCTGCCCGCTCAGTGCCGGGGGGCTGCCAGGTTTCAGCGCAGGTCGCAGGAGCTGACCTGCAGCCCCCCCTTTCCCCGCAGGGCTCCCCCCATTCCCCACCGGGGGCAGGCGCTACAGCCTCATGTCCAGGCTGAAAACTGGCGCGGACAGCGATGGAAGTCCAAAAAAGAAAGCGATGCTTGCAAAAGGAGTTTTTCCCTTGGATGTTAATTCCGAGGTGCTTAAGCCCAACACCACTCTGCAAAGCAATTTTGGCGCAGTGCCCCAGTGATTGCTGCTGGATATAGATTATTCAACGTTTAAATTGGCAGTCTGCAAGAAGGGGATAATATTTATCCTACCTGAAATGAGAAGGTAGTTAAGCCATTGAACCCAGAAGTGTATTCGGGTGACCAGTGACTTGGCAGAGCCCCAGGGGACACACGGAGATGCTGGTTCTCCCCCACCATCTGACCTTGGCTGTAGGGGATGTGCAGCTGTGCTGTGATCCCTCATTACTATCTGTTGGGGTTTGGCCAATTTTGTTTGTGTGTTTGTTTTTTTAAGTGATTAACAAGACCCTTGCAGAAGAGTAAGGTTGCTCCTATGGCAGCTCTGGCGGTGCAGTCAAGGGCAGCCCTCTGCCCATCTCCACAGCTCCGGACTGAACTGTGCAAAGTCAGGGCTGTGCCCCGAAGAGATTTTGGAACAGCTTTCTCCCTAAAGGTGTCAAAAACGAATTGCGATGACAATGCCATGAGGCTCACAAGGGGAGTTGTGCTCCAGTTCATCACATCCAAAGGCACCGGTCATTTGTGCCCCAGCTGGGGCCGGGGGGCAGCGGGCACCTCACCCTCCCGGTGCCCAGCACCGGCGCTTTCCTGCGTGGGACCACAACCCTGCACACGGGTGGAGGGCATGGCGGGGGGGGGGTGGGAAAAGTGTGACTAAATCGCACCTGTAGAAGACCAGTGGTCTGTGTTTCACCCTCCTGCACACCCAGGCGTGTAGTGCTCCGGGCACTGCTGTTCCCGGCTGCTGACCCCCGGTTACCCAAGGGGGTTGTGGCTCCTCCAGCTCAGAGCCAGGAGCAGGCTGGGGCCAGGGCAAAAAGCACGTCGAGGAACGAGGAGGAAACCATAGAAAAATCCGAGAGGACAGGTAAACGCAGAGTTTCTGTACCTGCCTACAGCTCCTGCACAAGTCCCTTTTTTTATTATTTTTTTTTTTTCCCACAAAGTAAATAGCGATAAATCAAGCACTGGAGGATTTTAAGTAGTTCTTAATCGTTTTCTTCTCCATCGTAAAGAGAGGAGGCGGGGGGGGGGGAAACCCCACCCCAGCTTGTCCTACAGCCTGGCTATGGGCTGCGCCTGCCGCCGCAGCTCCACCCCTGCGCACGGCGGGCCGGGAGCCAGAGCCCGTGGGAGGGTCCCCGCCGGCGGCACCGCGGCGTGGGCGCGGACTGCCCACGGGCGTCAAGCTGGCGTTTGCTCGGTCGGCGACAAAGTGGTGCCCGCGGGAGCCGCCGCAGCGAGGGGAGCTGCTCCTCCGCTCCCGGCGAGGTTAAAACAGTCTCGCAACGAGTCTCGGAACCGATCCTGCACCTTTTCAACCGCTACGGCTGCATCCGAGTTTAGCCCTATCTCCGCCCTAAGATCAAACACCCTTCCCCAAGCGTGACAGCGAACTGCCATTTTGCAGCCGCGACTCCTCGCAAGGATGGTTTCTGTGGGGTGGGAAGGGGCGGGGGGGGGGGAGGGAGGAAGAGCACGGCTCGGACAGCGGGGCTCTGTGTAACGAGAAGGGAAGATAACCGGGAAAACAGTAAAATCTCAAACCCCACTGGGAACGGGGGCCCCGGGGCCGCCGGAGCGTGGGGCAGGCCCGGGAGGAGGAGGTGGCGTGCGCCGGGGCCGCCGTCGGGCCGCGGCGGAGGGGCGGCCCCGGCTGCCCGCCCGGAGGGGAGGCGGCGGGGGACGGCCAGGGCCGGGCCGGAGGGGCTCCGCGGGGCTGTGAGCGCCGGGCCACCCCCCCCACACCCCGGCTCCCGCGGCTGCGGTGGGAAGAGGCTGTTCGCGGGGAGGGGAGGCGGCCCCGGTGGCCGCGGTGGCCGGTCCCCGGCAGGGACAGCAGCGCCGTTACCGCTCCGCCCGGGCGTCCCGGCGCGGAGCCGGGCGCGGGTAGGTGCGGAGGGACGCGGAGGCCGGGCCCCGGGGCGAAAGCCACCGCGGCGGCCCCGGGTGCTGCGGAGCCGGAGCAGATATTGTTATGGCAGCGGCAGCCGAGGGTGTTAATCTAGACTGGCTGGAGTGAAAAGAGGCAAATATTTCCGTTTGTGCCCTCCTGCCTCTCTCAGCACTGGCTGTCAGTCCCCGGGCTTGTTATCCGTACAAGGCATCAGTTTGTTTGGCTGAGCTCAGCAAGGTTTTCTTCTCCGAGCAGAACTATAATTGCTATAATTCCACTGTATCATTTGGATCATTGCAGTATTGTTGTTTTCTCTCTCTCGTTCTCTCCCCCTAACACTGCAATAACGCGCTCCAGTGTTAAATTAGCAGGTTGCAGGGGGAAGGGAGGAAAAAAAAAAAAAAAAAAAAAAAAAAAAAAAGAGGGAGAGACCATAAATGAATGAAAGTTTGTTTAAAAAAAATAAATAAACCAACAAAGTGACTTGGCAGAGGCAAGCTCTCACCACAAAGCATCCTCGCCTGCGAGCGGGACTGCCGCCGCCCCCCCCCCCGCACCCCGGGCCGGCCGGGGCCTCTCGCCCCCCGGGCGGGACCTGCCGGGGCTCGGGACAGGCGGCACCCCCGGCCCGGGCACAGCCGGGCGAGGGAACGGGGCGGGGAGGGAGTGGGAAGAAGGCGCAGGGGGCCGGAGGGCCGCGGCGGGGCCCCCCGACAGCCCCCCCGGCACCGCCCGCCGCAGCCCCGGCTCGCACCGCCGACAGCCCCCGGCACGTCCCGGCGCCCTCGCAGCTTCCAGTCCGAGGGTCCCTCGACCCCTCTGGCTACCGGCTGCTCCCAGGCGGGCTCGGGTGTCCTCCCCACACACGCACCCCGGGCAGGCGACGTGGCAAGTCCTACCCGGCCCCGCTCTCCCACGCGTGGGGCTGTGGCTCGGCCAGCAGCCGGCGAGGCGGAGCCGGGGGGGGGGGGTGTGCAGAGACAGGCCGGCCTCCCCCGCTGCCGGGGCGCCGGTCCCGGCCCGCCCGCCGCCCCACGCCGCTTCTCCCGGGCAAACCCCGGCGGGGAAACCCCGGTGGAGCCGCCCGGGGCCAGCGCGACAGCGGCAGCGCCTCTGCGCTGTGGATCCTCCTTTTTCGTTTGGTTTTGTTTGTTGGCTTGGTTTGGGGGGTGGGTTTTTTTTTGTTTGTTTGTTGGTTGGTTTGGGGTTTTTGGTTTTTTGGTTTTTTTTTTTCTTTTTGTTAGTCAATTGATTGCCACTCGTGCCGTGGCTGGCAAAAGCTCCCCGAGACGGCAAACGGCAGCGTGGCGTCCCCGGCCCAGGCGCAGCCCGCAAAGCCGAGCCGGGCCGTGGCCGCCGGCCGCGCACGTCGGGGTGCTCTCCACTCCCCACGGAGGCAGCGGGAAACGAGGAGGGGGGAACGAGGGGCGGGAGCCCTGCGGGGGCCCGCTCGCAGGGAAGGAACGGCGCTGGGAGTCACGGGTGGCCCCGCACGGCACGTACGGACACACGCCTGTAGAGCGTGGGAGCTTGTGCGCACACGGGCGTGGGCACAGCCAGAGTGGCGTTGTGCTCACATCTGCACGGACACACGCAGGCTGTCGTTTATCTTTTCTCTTAATTCCCGCTGCTTAAGTCGTTAGGAGACGCGGGATCCACACGGGAACTGCGGCGCGAGCAGGGGAAACGGGGCTGCCTCCCCTCCGGCGCTCGGGGTCGGGAATCACCCGAGCGAGCGTGAAGGTGTTGGGGTGGCCGGGAGCGGTTCCCGCGGCGTGTCCGTGCCTGCGGGAGCCTGGGGACACACACGGGAGCCGCGGACGCGCGGGCCGCTCTAACGCGCCGATCAAAACCGAGCCCAACTTGCCCACGCAGGGAGCCCGAACTCGCCCGGGACGTGACCGCTGAGCAGGGAAGGAAAAGGAGGGGGAATAAAAAGCCCTCAGAGCTCTTCAGGCCCCGCAGCGGCCTCGAGGGGGCCTGCGGCGGGGAGATGTGCGGGCGGCGAAAGGGGGGGGGGCGGCCGGGGCCGAGCTGCGCGCCCTGCCCGGCCCGGGGGACACTTCCCCCGGCTCCCGCACCCCTCCGCGTCCCCGAAGGCGCTGCCCGGGCGCTCCCGAAGGCAAATCCCCGGTGGCGGCCCCCGCTGTCCCCCAGAGCCCGGCTGTCCGCGCAGCGGGTGCGCACCCCTGCGCGGCCCTGCGCCCCGCCGGGCGGGCGGGGGGGGGGGGGGGGGGTGGAAAACGCTGCGCGGATCCCCCCGGCGGGGCCCACCCGGTGCCGCCCGGGCACCGCCCGGGGTTGGGGCCGGGCAGCGCGGCCGCCGTCGGGGCGGGGGGAGTGGGGGGGGGGGGGGTGAGGCGTGACGCGGGGGCTCCGCCGCCGCCCATCCCGGCCGCCCCCGACGGCTCCCCCGAGCGGCTCCCCGCCGCCCCCACGGAGCGGGACGCCCGTGGAGGAGGGGTCGCGGTGGGGGGGGGGGGCGTGGCGTGGCGTGGCGCCGATCCGGGGCGGTCCGAGCCGGGGTTTGCGGGGCGCCGTCTGTCGGCGGCCGCCCGGCCTCCGCCGAGAGCCAATCAGGGGGCGGCTGCCCGCACGTGGAGCCGAGGGGACTCAAGAGCGCCGCGGCCGCCGCTCACTCCCCCCGTGACGGGCGTCCCGGCGGCACAGGGCAGCGCCGCGGGGGCGTCCGCGCCGCCGCAGCCCGCCACGGCCCCACGGCCCCGCCGCCGCCATGAGCGGCCCCTACCCGGAGGAGAGCTGCGCTGAGCGCCCCGAGTGCAAAAGTAAATCGCCAACTTTGCTGTCCTCTTACTGCATCGACAGCATCCTGGGCCGGCGCAGCCCCTGCAAGGTGCGGCTGCTCGGCGCCGCGCCCAGCCTGCCCGCCATCGCCGCCCGCCCCGACACCGACAAGGCCGCGCAAGGTAAGCCCCGCCGCCCCGTCCCGCTCCGCCCAGCTCCTTCGCCCCGGCGTCGGGGACGGCTGCGTCCCGCGTGTCCCCTTCCCCACGCAGCCCCGGGGCTCGGCCCCGGCCCCGCTGCCCGCCCGCCCGGCCCGGCGCCGCCTCGGGGCCGCGGCCGCCGTTATCCCGTTTCCCCCGCTCGTTAGCGGCGGCCGCGCTGCCGGGGAGCGCGGCCAAAGTCGTGCCCGAAATTCAGCCCGGTTAATTCCGTGCGGGTCGGGCACCGCCGCTTTAGGCTGCTCTTGCTTTCGATAGGTGTGTAAATTCTTTTTTTTTTGGTTGTTTTGTTTTGTTTTTTGTCAAGCTAAAGTAAATCGTTGCGAGCAGGAAAAGGCTCGCCCGGTCGCCCTAAGCCTGTATCGAGTCTCGGCGAGCGAGCTGGGGCCGCGGGCCGGGCGGTAACACCGGGGCGCCGGCAGCCGCTGCCCCAGGCCCCAAGTTGGGAGCAGCCCCCCCAACACCCCCCCCCTCCTCGGGGTCGCGGGAAGCCCCAACTCCCACGGGCGGCCTCCCGCTCGCTTTCCCCGTTTCCCCGGCGCTCACAGCCGGGCGGGTTTTCTTCCCTTCGAGACCCAAAGGAAACTGGGGGGGGGGGGGCGGCGGGTAGCGAGGGGCAGACGATAGAAGTGGGGAACGAAACAAAAGAAAAGAAAACAAAAATAAAAGTGGAGGAGCCCCGGCCGGCCGGGCAGGGGCAGCGGGGCCGGCGGTGGCCCAGGGCTGCCCCGACCCCCCCGGCATCCGTCCCGCCGCCCGGGGCCGGGCTGAGGGATTCCGTCCCCGGCCGGGAGAAGCGGCGCTGGCAGCGCCCGGCCCGAGGGTGCGGGGCCGGGGGGGGGGGTGTCTGATCTCGGTGCGGGGTGGGAAACGGTGCCCGAAGCGGGCGCTGCGGGGTTGGGGTCTTGCCCTGGGCTCTTCGCGCTGATCCCACTGACCGTGTCTTTCTTTCTCTCCCCCTCCGCCCTTCTCTCTTCCCTCCGCACCCTTCTCCCCCCCTCTCCCCACCTGCCCGCCCCGTCCGACTGCTGTGGCTGCCTAAACACTCCCCCCCCTCGACCCTCACTTTCCGGCGCAGGGTCGCCCAAGGGCAGCTCCCCCTTCGAGCCGGCCGAGCTGCACCTTCCCCCGAAACTGCGCCGGCTTTACGGGCCGGGCGGGGGCCGGCTGCTGCCGCCGGGGGCGACGGGGCCGCGGGGGGACCGCCCGGAGGGGGGCGCCGGCCCCGTGCCCACGGCCGCCCCGTGGGACACGCTGAAGATCAGCCAGGCGCCCCAGGTCAGCATCAGCCGCAGCAAGAGCTACCGCGAAAACGCGCCCTTCGTGGCACCGCCGCCTGCCCGGGACGAGCTGGGCAGCCCCGCCGCGCATGTCGAGGAGCGGCCGGGCCCCGCCGCGCCGACCGCCGAGGAGGAGGAGGAGGAGGAGGACGAAGAGATGCTGGAGGAGGAGGACGAGGAGGAAGAGGAGCTGGAGGACGACGAGGAGGAGGAGCTGCTGGGCGAGGACGGCGGGGGGCTGCTGAAGGAGGCCCACCGGGGCGCCGCCGCGGCACCCGGGGCGGAGGGCGGGGATCTGTCCCCCAAGGAGGAGCTGCTGCTGCACCCCGAGGACGGCGAGGGCAAGGACGGCGAGGAAAGCGTCTGCCTCTCGGCCGGCAGCGATTCCGAGGAGGGGCTGCTCAAGAGGAAGCAGCGCCGCTACCGCACCACCTTCACCAGCTACCAGCTGGAGGAGCTGGAGAGGGCCTTCCAGAAAACCCACTACCCCGACGTCTTCACCAGGTACCGGCGCCGGGACCCCGTCCGAGCGCGGAGCGGGCGAGCCCCGAGGGGGGCAGGAGGGGACGGGGCCGCGGTGTGCTGCGCCAAAACCGTCCAAAACGCCCCCCGGGGGTGACTCCCGCCGCGGGCACAGGCGGGCTGGGAGGGGATGGGGAGCAGGGCCGGGCCCCGGGGGGGACCGGGACCGGCAGCTCACGGGCAGGTCCTCCTGGAGGCGGCTGGCGGGGGGGGCTATTTTTACCCTCTGCCCTCCTTTCCCCTCGCTGCGGCCGCTGCCGAGATCGGTTTCGCGCTCCCTCGGGGGGGCTGGATCCCCGCCCAGCCCGGGGAAGCCCCGGCGGGGGCAGAGATCAAAGTGCCGCTGCCTAAAAATACCGGCCAGGCACGTCGGGGCCCCTCGCTGCCCGGAGGCTCTGCCCGCCTTTTCGGGGGCCTTTCCCCGTTAAAAACACGAACCCCGCGGGCGGCGGATCTGGCCGGCGGCTCCTCGGCGGGAGGAGCGGGCAGGCGGCTCTGCGCTGCCCGAAAATAACTTCCCCCCCTCCCGCCTTCAGCCCAGAGGAGGGCTGAGCCCCCGAGGTCTCACTTTTCGATCAAGCAGACCCTCCCGGTTTCTCGTTTGATTTGCCGGCAGGGCTGGCGGGATGGGGGTCAGGGGTGGTGTCCGCGGGGGGGGGGTTTGTTCCCCTGCCTTCCGTGCGGGCGCATCGCATCGCCCGCGGGGCTCCCCTCGGGGCGCCGCCTGGCCCCGGCCTCGGGAGCGCCTGCCCGCGGGTGCGTATGAACATTTCGGGATTTTTTTTTTCGTTGGTGATTTTTTTTTTTTTTTTTTTTTTTCTCATGGCTTTGGCTTTTTCTCCGGGTCTTTTCACGCCCGGCCGGCGCGGGGGCGGCCCGGCGACGGGAGTCCCGGGTACGCCGGGATCGCTCGTCTTTCGGGCAGGGAGCTGACGAGCGGTTTTCTTATCGCCTTACTGGTTTTCTTACCGCCTCAAGGGTTGCCGATTTGCCTCGACGATGGCAACGCGAACCGCAGCGTGCGGCGGCTCGGCCGCCGTCCCCTTCCGCCGCGGTCGCGGCGGGGACCGGCTTGAATTTGGGGAGGGAGGGAAGGAGGGAGGGGAGGTGCCGAAACTCGGGAGCCCCGACGGGCGGCCCGGCCCCGCTCCCTCCGCCCCGGGGAACGGGGGCGTCGGGCCCGTTGGGCGCGCCGAGCTGGGGGGCGGCCCGGGGAGCCCCCGGCTGACGGCGGCGTGTGTGTCTCCCCCAGGGAGGAGCTGGCCATGAGGCTCGATCTGACCGAAGCCCGAGTGCAGGTGAGTGGCGGCGGCGGCGGGGCCGGGGAGCAGCGGCGAGGGGGGCGCTGGGGGGGCGCTGGGGGGGGTGTCCCCGGCCCCGAGCCATCGGCAGGAGAATTCCCGTGTGATTAAAACGCTGAGCCCCAACGGCGCTTGGGTTGTTAGAGAGAGCCGCAGGGCCACAAGCCGGGTATTTGGCTGCCATCAAATCTCCAATCGGGCTTCATAAAAGCCCACTTAGCGCTAGAACAAACAGGGCCATTTGAAGGCGAAATGTTGTTTGATTTCCTCTCTGCCTGCACGAGGAGCTGGCTAATGCTATTTGATTTCCCATTTTTGATAGCAATAAGCCTGCATTGATCTAATAGTGAGTGAGTGCAATGCTATTAAAGGTGTTTGCCGCCCCATACCAGAGTGCATTTCCCAACCCGGGTCTCATAACCAAAGAGACGATAAACACTGGGATGCCCTGATTGCCAACAGAAAACAGATGTCTCTGGGTTTGAAGCTGAGCAAATCACTTTACAGTTAAAATCGGGCGCTGATAAAGCATAATAAATTCCATATGGCTCATTTAATACACAACAGCTTCTTGCATTAGAGGGGCTAATGATGAGATTTGTCCCCTCCTTTCTGTTGACACATTTCTCCATTGTCAAACAGAGATGTGACAGCAAATCAGTATTTTCAGCTCAGGGGAACGAGTCGTGGGAAAGTTAAATAACTTTTTTAAAAGAAAGACACCCCCCTTTCTCTCCCCTCTATTCACGGGAGAAGATGTAATTAAGGGAATATGAATTATGAGAGTCCCTTCGTTTACCTTTGGGTGTACATAGACTTACTAATTCAGGAAGGGGGAACTGCAGCGGGGACAGCTTGCTAATCGGGTTTTAGCTGGGAGAGACGCTCCCTCCGTGCCAGGCGGTTGGCTTCCCTGCGAACGTGACGCCTCTTTCCTGCGTGGGTACCCCGATGGGCGCGCGTGGGGATCAGTTCTCACCGTACAGCTCTGGGGAAGAGAGCCGCAGCGCTGCTGCCTTTCTGGCTTCCCGGAGAGAAGGGCTCTCACGCTGAGCTTACAAAGCCGAGCCTAGCGGGGAAAACTCATCCCCCACCAGCCCGAAAAATCTGACAAATGCGTGTGTGTTTCGCTCAAAGCCTCTCTCCTCAGGTGCGTGCGGTGCCTCGCACTCGGTTATTAAGCGAGTATTTTCCTTTGAAATGCGGTATTTTAATTTTTTTTTCCCCCCTCTACTTCTCTCCTCTTTTAAGCCCGTGTTAGTTCACGTTTTTTGTTTTTTTTTTCCTTCGTGGGAGGGGGAGAAGAGGCAAGGGGCGGCAGTGCCGCGGCTTCCTAACTAACTAACTTTCGTAAAATAAATTCTAAAAGGGCAGCCTGGAGACGTGTATTTGCTGCCGTGCTTGCCTCGAAAATTACTTCTTCGTTTCAGGCGTTAGTGAAATAACGATTTTTCTCCCCTCGCTCTAAATCCGAACGGGAAACACGGGGAAAAAAAAAAAAAAAAAAAAAAAAGAAAAAAGTCCGCGATCCCCAAACGCTACCATTTGTTAAATATTCCCTTGAGCGGAAAAAAAAAAAAGCGGCGCAGCTCCCGCTGCGGGTGCGGAGTAAACCCCCGCGGGGTCCCACGGGGGGAAGCGTTTTCCCGCCGCCGCGCCGGCAGCCGCCCGCAGCCCCGGCCCACGGGAGCCGGGGGCGCCCCGCCGAAAGCCGCCCGCGGACCCCCCGCCCCGTGGTGGGCCGTCGTCGGCCGGGGCCGCAGCGCGGCGCTGACACGCGTGGCCCCCGCGGGCCGGGTGCCCCCCGCGCGGGGGGGCGGCGGAGGAGCGGGCGCCATCGGGCCGGTGCGCGGCTCCCGCGGGGCTCGCCCCGCCGTGGGGGGGGCGGGCCGGCGTATTAAAACCGGTTTTTCTTTTGGCTTTCAGGTATGGTTCCAGAACCGTAGGGCTAAGTGGCGGAAGAGGGAAAAGGCTGGGGCTCAGACACACCCCCCAGGTTTGCCTTTCCCTGGTCCCCTGTCAGCAACTCACCCCCTCAGTCCATACCTTGATGCTAGTCCTTTCCCTCCTCATCACCCAGCTCTAGACTCCGCCTGGACCGCCGCCGCCGCCGCCGCCGCGGCCGCCGCCTTCCCCAGCCTGCCGCCGCCGCCCCCCGGCTCCGCGGCGCTGCCCCCCGCCGGGACCCCGCTCGGCCTCGGCACCTTCCTGGGCGCCGCCGTGTTCCGCCACCCCGCCTTCATCAGCCCCGCCTTCGGCAGGTACCGCCCGCCCACGCGCGACCCGGCGCCGCGCGGGGACACTCGCACCGGGGAGGGGGGGTGGGGGTGGGGGGGACGACGCGACGCCCACCGGGGAAACGCGCCGCCGCGGGCGCGCGTGGGAAAGCTGTCCCGCCTCGGAGCGGGGGGACGGGGTGGGGCGCGGCGCGGCGCCCCACGCGGGACCCGTCTCGCGCGGGCCGCCCCGCCGTTCGAACTTGGAGCGCCGGCGGCCGGCGCCGATTGGGCGCCGCGCGGGTCACGTGCCTCCGCCCCGGCTTCTCATTGGGCGAGGCCGGCTCTCACGCCCGCCCCCCCACCGCCGCGGGTCCCCCCGTGAGCACGGCAGGTCCGCGGGCGCCGGCGTTTGCGGGGGAGACCGGGCGTCCCCCGCGGGGCTGCTCAGCCCGCGCAGGGCGCAAGGGCGGAGCGGGGTACCCGCGAGGCGTCCCCACGCAGGACCTAAATAGGCGTGGGTTGCCCCACGTGCACACGCGGCCTTTGCGTTGCTCGTGGGGTGTAGGGGGGGTGGGGGGGGTGTGCTGCCGTGTGGCAGTTGGGGATGAGCTGGAGCCGCGGCGTCCCGCGCTCCGCGACCGCCGCCGCCTGCGCCCGCCCCGTCGGGTCCGTGCCGGATTTTCGGCCGTGGGCACGAGTGGGTTTGGGCGGCTGGGGGGGGGGGGGGTGGGGGGCGAGCGCCCCCCGGCCAAAGCGGGACGGGCGGAGGGGAGCTCGGTTATTTTTTCTTATTTAGCGGGAGCTGGGGAGAAAGCCCCGCCGGAGCCTCCCCCCGCCCCGTCTCTCCCACCCCCCTCCGGCGTCGGTTTTTTTTTTTTAATTTTAATTTAAAAGTGTGCGCGCTCCCCGCGGAGGGAGGGGCGGGGAGGCGGGGGGGGGACCGGCCGGGCCCCGGCGCGGCGGTGACGGGCGGTCTGTGCTTCCCTTGCAGGCTGTTTTCCACCGTGGCCCCCCTGGGCAGCGCCTCCAGCGCCGCGGCCCTGCTGCGGCAGCCGGCGCCGGCCGCCGAGGGCGCGGTGGGGCCGGCGGGGCTGGGGGAGGCGGCCAGCGCTGCCGCGGACCGGCGGGCCTCCAGCATCGCCGCCCTGCGGCTGAAGGCCAAGGAGCACGCCGCCCAGCTCACCCAGCTCAACATCCTCCCCGGGAGCAGCACGGGGAAAGAGGTGTGCTAAGGCACGGGTGCGCCGCCCCCGGGCTTCGGGCTGGGTCGGTGGGGTTTGGTTTTTTTTTTTTTTTTGGGGGGGGGAGTTGTGTTTTTTGGGTTTGTTTTTTTTTTTTTTGTAGAGGGGAGTGGGAGAGGAAGGAGGGGAGTGAATACGCCAATAAAGAAAGGTCACCTTCCGACAGCACGAATCAAGACCAAACGGGGAGGGCGGGGGAGGGGAAATAAGGATGATTAAAAAAGAAAAAAAAATAAAAATTTAAAAAAAAAAAAAAAAAAAAAAAAAGGAGGACCAGCAGCTGAGACTGGGGTAGGTTCTCCAGTTAGGACAGTGAGCGCCTTGTGCAGTGTGCAGCAGCCCTCACACGAGTGAGCCGACACTTGCAAGCGCCTGAATAAGTAACTCCTGGGCTGGTACATTTCTTAAACGTACAACGTGTTCATTTCCTCTCCGAACATTAAGGGGAAAAAAAAAAAAAAAGGCAAAAAAAAAAAAGCAAAAAAAAAAAAAGCCCTAATAAAAGTTGTTATATATTAGCGTTACGTACACTAAATATTTTTCCTTCTGTTTATCTGGCAAGAAAAAAAATAAGAAACAACTAGAATTGTAATTAAGAAAGAAAAAAAAATAAAAAAAAAAAAAAAAAGAAAAAGGGAGGGGGAAAAGCTACCCACATCTTCTTAAAATAACATCTTAGGATGTTAACTTGGTCTGTTAGGAGCACTGGAGAACTGTTTTCCACGCCGATGCAGCGAGCTGCATGCGCTAACCAAGGATGCTGCCAGTGCAGACTGAACGTCAATTTGATGCTGTAAGATAACCAGTGCACTTAAGGGAAAGGGTATATCTTTTTCTTGTTATATTCTTTATCACTACACCAACCAAGGTTTTTATATCAAACCAAAGGGAAATACACTGCTAGAATATGGACTGTTTAAGTCACTAAACTGTGATTATTGATTCTGTACATACCATTGTTATAAAAAAGAACAGAGCTTTGTATATTTGAAATGTTATAAAACAATTGCACTCAGTGTAGTGTTGTAAAAGTTTGTCATTCTGTAGATTCTTACTGTGTTGTAGATATAATAGGGTTCCTAGACAAATATTTATGTACAAACCCTTTATTTAACTTATTAACTGTAGAGGTTTCTGAAACCCTCAAGAGGCGATGGTACAGTACTTTTTCGTGTAATGTCGTTATTGTTAACACTTTTCCTTGCTATCCGGTGGAGAAGTGCCACGTTCAGAAAATAAACAAAAATATATGTTTAACAACAACAACAACAAAAAAAACCAAAACCAAACCCACAAAACAAAACACCAAAAACGGAATTAAAGAAAAAGGCAGACGGGGGCTGCGGGGCCGCGGGCACCCGGGGCCGAGTCCCGCCGGGGCGGCCACCCCCCGCCGCCGGGGAACCCCCGCGGGGCGTGGGGAGGGGCGCGGGTGGCCTGGCCGGGGGCCGTTGCCAGAGGTTGGGGAGAGGGGGGCGGTGCGAGGTGCCGGCGGCCCCGTTTGCCAAAGGGATTTGCAGAGCGGGGGGACCGGGGCTCACCCACGGCTGTACCTGCCCGCGCTCTGCCGTGGGCACCGTGCCGTGTCGTGTCGTGTCGTGTGTGTGTCCCCGCCCCGCCCCGGGAGCTGCCGAGGAGGGCGCAGGGGTCGCTTCTTGGTGCCACAACGACCCCACGGCGCGGGAAGCCGCCCCACGCACCCCCGGCACCCCCGGCCGGGCCGGGACAGCCCCGGGCTCCGCCGCTGCCGAACGCCGGGGGCGGGGGGGGGAAACCAAGGATTTGGAGGAGCGCTGTGCTGGACTTCCCCCCGCGCCCCTCGCCTCCTTTCGGGGGGGGGGGGAAGGAAAGTTTCTGTGTGCCCGTCACTTGCCTCTGCTCCCCCCCGTTCTTCCCGGGATGAACTACTTTTTTTTTTTTTTTTTTTTTTTTTCCCGTTTGTTTCCCCCCGAGTTGTTTTTTTTGTTTTGTTTTGTTTTTGTTTTTTAAATTATTATTATTTTATTTTATTTTTTGTTGGGATTTTTTGTGTCTGTTGTTGTTTTTTTGGACGCAGCTCTCTCATTTGCTTCTTCCACGGAGCAGAAACGCGTGAACCCCCCCGCAGGACGGCCGGCGCTGCCGGCGGCCCCCCACGCCCCGCTCCCCTTCCCCGGCTCCGAAGGGCCCCGGAACCCTCCGGCCCCCCACGAGGGCAGCGGGCGTGGGGCCGGCCCGGGCCGTGGGCGCGCAGGGTTGTTGAGGGGGATTTTTCTGGGTTGATTTCGTCTCGTTGCGGCATCGCTCCACAACGGCAGCCCGGGGGCCGGGTACCGGGGATGAGCCCGGTTCCCCCCTCTCCGTCCCCCGAGCGCCCCGGGGGGGCCCGGCCCGGCCCCGCCCGCCCCGTGGGGCCGCTCCGTGGGGCCGCCCCGGCTCCGGGAGTCGCCGGCCGGGAAACGCCGCCGGAGCCGCCACCGCGCGTGGGAGCTCGCCGCGACCCTTCCCCGCAGCTCCCCTCTTCCACCCACGGCGTCTCACATCCCCCACGCCCCCGACCGTATTTTTGAGTTCTAAACCCCACAAAAAAAAAAAAAAAAAAAAAAAAACCAAACAAAAAAAAAAAAAAAACGGGCAAAATAAGGCTTGTTCCCTGGACGTTATTACCAGTGCAGCCTGAAATATACATTTTTGCCTTAAAGAAAAGGGAATCATTATCAAGCCATTACGCATTAAGAAATGTCATTCAGTCATTTTTATTCATTCCGCTGAAATCTTCGTAAAAGCACGAATCATACTTCTGCAAGCAGCAATTTTGTTAATCCAGGGGGTTATTACTCTGGTCCCTTATTAGGATCTATACTGCTGCCAAGCAATCCTATAACCTTCTCAAAAGAAGTTTACCTCCGTGTTATAAAACCAGTAGTGGTATTTATACTGTGCAATAATTAGTGTATTACTTGAATCCACTAACAGGTTCATTTTATCTCCGCACAAAACCCCTAGTCTGCTTATAGAAAGCTTGTGCCTCCTTTGGTGCTGTTAAAGTGGTGAAAGAGTGAATGAAGGCTGGTAGCACTTTCTCCTTTCGCCGTGCCTTAATTCCCATCTCTTTCTGCTCTCATCCAATTAGTGCAGTGTATTAAGCGGTTTATCATCTCATAGTCAGCTATTGAGAGAAACAAGGCGAACACTTTGCAATAGAGCCTGCTCTCCTTTGACACCCTCAGGTACTTACATATTCCACTGTGCTATGAATAATAGAGGAAGAATAGAGCGCTAATTCCCTCATCAAAGAATGCCTTGTCTGCTGCTTTGCTCAACAACACCATTCTGATCAAAAGAAAAGCAATAAAGCTTAGCATAACAAAACGAAACCTACTTATTAGCTTAGTGGTTAAATTAATGCAGAGCCGCTGCTATTCAAAACCAAGGTTTGAAAACAGCCTCCAACAACCTGATAATGCTGCCTTCGGGATGAAGGAATTTTAATCTGAAATTTGAAGCTGGCACAGATGAGTTAATCTATTAAACTGCTATAAGGAGGGTGCGGGAGAACTATTCAATTAAGGCCCGTTTAAGGTGCTCCGCCGCGGCCGGGCCGGGCAGATGCGCGGCGGCGGGAGCTGCTGCCCCGGCCCCGGCTCCGCAGAGCCCCGCTGCCCTTCCCAGCTGCCAGGGAACGCGGATCAAGACGAACCCCAGTTTTAGAAGCCTTTGAGGGGGCGGGGGGGGAGGGGGGGGGGAGGCGGGAGTGGGGGACAGGAGGAGGGAAAGGAAGGGAGTGCGATTCGGGCCAGCCCAGCCTCAGAAGGCGACCCTCCGAACTTCAGCCTTTCCCAGATGATTTACAGCGCTGCATTTACCGGCTCTGTTTAATATGAAACGCTCGAAAGATGATTTTGCGTTTCCCAGCCTTTCCCCGGGGCCAAGCTGAGGCACCGTGCCCAGAGCTTGTTAGAGAACGGGAGGCTGGGCGGGGGCGGGGGGGGGCAATCCAGTTTACTCCTTGCCAAGACTTCAGCTCTGATGGGACCAACTCTGTTGAAAGGACTCAAAAATTGCCTTAATTCGGGGTAAAAGCCCTCGTTTCCGATCCCCCCCCCCCCCCCCCCCAAGCCTGCGGCTGGCTGGGGCTGGGAGGGGGCTGCGGGATTTTGGCCCGGGCCACTCCCGCAGCGGAGCGGGGCTCCTCTTCCCCCCAGCCCCTCGCAGGGCTACTGTGTGCTGCGGCACCCTACACAATCATTCCACAACACTCTCATTTAATCTAAACATCCCTAAACTTGCAAATTAACAGGCTCTTCAGCTGTAATTATACAGATACATACAAGTGCCACGGGGTCAGGTTATGTCATATCTATCCATTTTATTTGTATACCTAACGTTTGGAGGAGAAGGTCACACTTTCCACTTTCCTAAGGCATTCTACCCAGTTAATATCAGTAATATCTTCATAATCCTAATTGGGTTGGACACGAAGAATCTAAAAAAACCTGCGTGAAACTACAGGAAGCCAGGATCTTTCGAAGGGCTGCAACATCAACGTGTCATCTAGGCAGCAACACCTTCTCGCCAAGACAAGCCTCCAAACTCAGTCTCCTTTACAATAACCCAACCCAACGCGCTGGGAAGGCAGGATCGCTCGCCAGGCGTGGGGCAACACCGACTCAAGACCAGGGATCGAGTGGGTTCCATTTCTCACATACTGTGACTCCATGGCAGTAGAAATTAAATGATTTAGCCCCAAAAGTGGCTCAGAAGACCGCCACGTGCTTGGGCATCTTCGAATAGACATTACCCACGTGGACACACACCACCTGCCAACGCCACTCGAGGGGCAAATGAACGTCATCGAATACTCTAACGCAAAGAGCCACGCGCATCCCGCTGATGCTCTTACTTTTTCTTCAAGCTCCCTTTGTTAATGGCCGCCCATCCTAAAAACGGACACTTCTGTAAAAGCAAGGAAAGTCTGGAGCGATACGACCTCGCGTGGGAGATTTTCAACAGTCAAGATGATCAAATCAAATTCTCTTTTACTAAAAAAACTTTATTTTTTTCCTTCAAGTGTTAAGAAAACTTTACATTTTATACTGTTAAAGATTTGAAAGAGAATTTTTATAACCTTACATTAATATATCACATTGCAAACTTAACGGCAAACATGAGTACAACAATATTTTGTCTACAAAAGCACGTACCCAAATTTATGCTCTTTTCTTGTCATATCTGCTTGTCATTTTATTAATAGTCAATGAAAAATACAATTTGTTTATAAAACCTTTGAAGCCTCCAATACAGTAATTATTACAGAACAGCAACAACGATTCTCCGCTTTCCCTTCCCCTGTTACTGGTTACCATGCCATCCCAAACATATATTTCCCTACCGATTGCTTACTTTCAAGTACTTTGCATGGCAAGAAACGAAATACGTTTATATCCTGTGTATGTACGAAACAGGTTTTGTGCATGTGCATGTCTTTATATCCACAGAGAAATTTCCAACATGGCAAAACTCTATGCTTCAAGATGTACAGAAAGACTCTTAATAAAAAGATGGTCCCCGTTTTAGCACCTCCAGGTTTCAGTCCTTCTTTACCTTTAAAAAATTTGAAAGCCAAGTGTCCCTACCTCTGCTCAGAAGGTATTAGGACATTAAAGGCATTTACGTTCAGTATTGTTTTTAATTGGTGTGTTTATGATCAGGAAGAAGATAAACTGTGAGAAGGCAAAACATTAGTGCTCCTACTGAGACCTCTACTAACCTCTCTTCCTGAGAGCACCTCTACTAAATACCCTGGAGCAAAGTCTAGGATCACTTACATTCCAGCAACTCTCACTGGGAATTATCCAATTAAAGCAGCAATTCCCCCACCCCCTTTTCCCTCATAGGTCTAAATACACAACCAAATATATTGCAAAAATCAACTACTCCGTATTTTAATAACCCTGGCTTCTCAATGAAGAAAAGAAGATAAAAACATCTCAGATATTCCATGTCCACGTGAATCATACATCCCGTTTTCGTCTTCCGTTTTTCTTCCTCCGAAGAGACAAGATTATTAAAACATCACTGTGCATACTGAAATAGCATATTGCTTAAGACATCATTACTGTTAAACAAGAAACTAGCCCCTCGTCTCCCTCCGTTTTTAATCAATCACTGTCTTTCATTATTGG